GTATCGTCATTTGATATGTTTTAATGCTTGCATTAAATATTTCACTCTCAAATCGCATGGACGTTTTCTTCTATGGTTTCAATTATTTCTGGAAGCACCAAAGATCATTCATTGGTTAATAGAGTGATTTCTACGGTTTCAACCATTTTTGGAAGAATTGAGGATCACAATAGATCATTCATGGAATTCCAAACTTTTAGTAATATATATGTAATACATCAAAAATATTTTCGTCTATGTGTACTTAAGCCCATGCAAGCAATTGCTTAAACCTTACCCTAAAAAAATAATTTGACATGCAAGCAATTGCTTAAACCTTACTCTAAAAATAATTTCCTGTATTAGTTTTTCATTATTTCAATCACAATAGTTTATCAAAATATGTTCTATTCAATAACCTACAATATATACATATTCAAATGTAAAATAACATCTTTGTATCAAAGATGCCAATGTCCATATAAAACCAGAAATGTTTTGGTTACATACAGTTCGGATCAACTACAATTCTTAAACAATTTTCAAACAAAACAATACATCATGCGGAATATCAAATTAGGGTACGGAAGTTGATATACAAAGTTATACTAGAAAAGGTTCTTAAAAGACTGAGCTTTCAGGATTCATGAAGAAGGCTGAAAAACTCGAAATGTAGACGATGCAAACCTTTGCAATGATTTCGTTTCTGAACATTGAATGTTTAGTTGTATGAGCTGGCAAGCCTGGCATTTAGTTTTTGGCGCAATTGATGAAGCATCAAGAGCGCGAGAGGACACCTTTCGAGCTATAAAGGAAAAAACACGAAGAGTTTTAAGTCTAGCATAACAAACACAATTTCAAGATAAACTTGCAACACTTAGTTAAACCCGTCTTTAGGGCTCCTAAGAAAACTGCCATTTTTTTTTTTACAAGAGAGCTAAACACAAACACTCATCCTAAATTAATAATTATTGAAAGTACAAACCTTGGAACACTTCCTCCACGGCGAGGATCATACTCTGTTGCTTGCCGAAGGGCCCTTGCAAATGCCTTGAAGGTTGCCTCGATGATGTGGTGAGAATTCTTCCCAGCAAGCTATTCCGATTATCAGAACTCAACCATTCAGAAAACATGGATTAGAATATGCACACACTAATTAATAAGACTAAAGGTAATTTTGCTACTTCATTGATTTTTATAAATGGAGGGGCATGTTAAGGAATTTTGCTTGTATAAGATTTGACTGATCAGTAGGTAATTCTATTCCATTAGGCAGGCATACTTTTTCAACAAAATTCATATTGCCACAATGAAACGTCATATTCATGAAAAAAAAAAAATACAAAAAAAAATAAAAATGTGAAGCAACTATTTGACCTGTTCGGAAAAGTATGACATTATTTATTAAAAAAGTTATGGCATTACCTTAAAACTATCTTTGACCCACTATTGTCCCTTCCAAACAGTACACATAGAGTTAAATTTATTACGCTACATCGTGTAAAGATTATTATATGAAACATATACTGGTGTCTTCCCAAAAAAGCAAGAAACAAGCTACACAAATATATACTAGATTGTACAATCCAATGTCAGCCGTTGCAAGCAATATGACGAATTAAGGAATTAGTGTCTTTGCATACAATTTTTCCATAACTTTTGTGAAAGCAATATTCTAGGAGGAATTTGTCTGCAAATGAAGGTATTAAGATTTTCACCACCTAGCTACTCTTACAATGTATACAAAACCTTCAGGAAAAAAAAAAAGTTTTACCTGTCGTATGTGTAGTGTCATCCCAGAGGTATTGACCAAAGACTGAAAGAAGTGCTCCACCAACTGAAAGCACCAAAACATACGAGTGAGTCAATACACAGGGGAATGCAGTTGAGGAAAAAATGAAACTACAGGAAGTTGATTTTATGCAAGCTAAGTGCAAGGAACAGTGTTTAACATAAGGTAAAATCAACTACAACAATAACTCAGATGTCACCTACGAAATTGAGTCATTTAATAACACAGAGTACCTGTGTGTCGTAAGTTCCAACTCTCTCTGTTGGTATGTGCAAATCATAACCCAAATGAGGCCTTCCAGACAAATCCTAAAAAATAAATTCAAAAGAATATTCACATATTCAGAATGGAAACCATTTCTCATGATGGGAGAAAATACTACATCATAGACTTTTGTTTTCGCAACTCCAGTAAAATTCTTCCTATAGATGATAGAAGACTAAATGTTGCATCTGCTTGATAGATAAATAACGAACTTTTGTAAAGTCCATACTCCCCAGAAGAGGTCAGTATTTTTCCAGCATCATACCAGCGAAACATGTACAAGTGCTTCATCAAGAGGAGCCGAGAAGTCTCCAAACCTGTTAATTCCTTTCCTATCACCAAGTGCTTGCAACAAAGCCTGCAGGAATTTATTGTTACTACAATTGATTTCCAGACTAACCGTAAAATATTGCAAGTAAAGCATGTCTACGGCTTCTTGGTTCTGGCCCACGCTGAACATTGGAAAAGCGTATAACAAACATACAACAAAAGATACAACCTGTATTCGAAATGGATACAATTTATTTCTTAATGCAAGCAAAAGGAGATTTAAATATTGAAGACTTATGTTCAAAAGATGAATATGATTTCCGAAACAAGACCAATCAGATCCACATGGCCACTTACATGCCAAACAGGTTTCTTTCACAGATATGTGGCGCAAACTAGAGAAAGGATGTCGAGTACAAACAAACAATGAATGAAGCATCCAAGAGAAATAATGTTGCCCTAAAGTATTGCAAAAGGTAATGATACAGAAATTGGAATTCTGAATCTTGGAAAACATACAGTTCCAATTGCCAGGGCTATATCTTCATTAGTGTGATGATCATCAATATGAATATCTCCAGTGGCTTTAACATGTACGTCAAATAACCCATGTGAAGCAAGTTGCTGTAACAGATGATAAAAACAGCAATATTCAGAATTCTAGCTTATTCGAATCTAACATATAAACAACGATACCATGTAACACCTGTTGCACTCAAATAACTCAATCACCAACTCAACAACCCCGGTCAAAATGATCATTTCATTTTGGATGGAAAATATAAGACATATCTATTACTGCCAAACAACTCTTTATATTTTAAACACAATAGAAGCAGAAAAAATAATCCACACTTCTAATATTGGCCTAATTACTATAGTTTACAGATAAAGTACACAAACAATGAGTGAATGACTACATACAGAGAATAATCAACACCAACCCCCTTAGTAGCTCTCGAACTTGTAAGCACTATGAAAAATATTCGGATTTATTCAAGGACACACAGATTCAATACGAGTCTTCTGGCTAACATTAGGTAATACTTTACTTCATCAAGTTTCAATACGAGTTCAATTGCATATTCCATGTTTAATAAAATTCAACCAAAAAAAAAAAAAACAAAAACATGCTCACGAATAAACAAATAACATACATCTAACATGTGATCGAGAAATGGAATGCCCGTATTATTTTCAGCTGTGGCACTACCATCCAGATTAATCTTCACACTGACATTCGTCTCCTTGGTAACCCTCTTCACCTCTCCAATTCTTACCCCTTCAATTTCCGGCAATTATCAAAGACAGGCCAAAACAGCAATACGAATAAGGAAAAGAAGAGAAAAAACGAGTCCAATTTACCCTGAGCTATTTCTGTCGACGGAGAACTATTGTTAACGACCGCATGAGGTGCAATGAACTCCATTGGATGGGTCGTGAGGTACCTGGAGAAGAGTTGTACATTGCGCTGCTGAAGGGGTAGAGGGAGGAAAACGCGCTGCGAGAGAATAACCGGTGAATTGCAGAGGCGCGATTGACTGAAAAACGAACTTTTGACCGAACTCTGCGAGATTGAGAGGTCCATAAGTCGAGGAAACTGAACAAACGGTTGACGGGAAGCGGCAGCGGCGGCGGGTGGGGGTGCTCGCCGGGGATTAGACGTGAGAGAGTATCTATTTCTACACAAAACGCTTCGTTTGATTTATTTGCAAACCCGATTTATGTAACTCACATTTTTTTCCCTTTTCTAAGATGTACCGTGCATTATTATTCAATTCAGGTCAAATCCTCGTATAAGATTGTGTTTTAATCACCTCTTAGACCCAAAAATTAAACTTAAAATATTGGCTAGAAAATTTTTATTTTTATTTTTATTTTTTTACTTTGGTGATTGATCATTCCAAAGAAAATGGTA